GATGGTTTTGAGTCTTTTCCATTCCGATTTGAATTTTGTGCATTTTTGGCTGGAGTATCTCATATAGATTCCTTCACTGGCACTTTTTCTTTAGTTTCCACATCATCAAAATCATCATCATCATCTTCATCATCATCATCATCTTCATCAGCAGCAAGTTTTACTTTTTTCTGTGGAACCTTGCTACCACCTCCAGGGGCCGATCGCTTTCCAGATATACTTAAGAGTTTCACATCCCCCTCCTCTTCATCTTCTCTTGCATCTTCCTCCACAGCTACTAAGTGCTGTCCACTAATACGCACTGGCCCTGAGCCACATTTCAACCAGAAGACACTGGTGGTGTTACTTCAAAGCCCCCAAGGGAAACCATGGCTGTACAGACATTTTCAAAGTTGCCAGTGTTACTTTAGTTGGACTGCCTTCGTAATTCATTGCCTGTGCTTCAACAATGTGCAATTCATCCTTCGCACCAGCCCCTAAACTGACCGTTCTTAAAGATAACTGGTGCTTATTTTTATCATTATCCACCTTAAAGTGATCATCTTTGTCGGCCTTTAGTTCACAACCAAAAAGATAGTTCCGGGGTCTCAGGGGGCTCATGTCCATGTCCATGGCATCTTCCATTGGGTGGCCGCACGCACTTAGGTGGGAGAGAAGGTGGATGGAGATAAATGACCACTGCTCAAGAGAACAGCCGCGCAGGTTGGAATCACACCAGGGAAAAGCTGCACCACATCTTTTACGGATAAGTGTATACACCCATAACTCCCCGATTTAATATTACTTACTGACTTCTTGCTTGGCTAGATGAAGATTTAGATCATTTACTGCTTCTCCTTTTCTGCTTTATTCTTTTTTTTTTGAGACGGAATCTTGCTCTGACACCCAGGCTGGAGTGCAGTGGCGCACGATCTTGGCTCACTGCAACCTCCGCCTCCTGGGTTCAAGTGATTCTTCTGCCTCAGCTTCCCTGTAGCTGCTTTGGGAGGCCTCAGCACCTCAGCGCCTATAGCTGGATTACAGGTGCCTGTCACCATGCTCAGCTAATTTTTGTATTTTTAGTAGAGACAGGGTTTTGCCATGTTGGTCAGGCTGGTCTCAAACTCCTGACCTCAGGTGATCCGCCCATCTCAGCCTCCCAAAGTACTGGGATTACAGGTGTGAGCCACCGCACCCAGCCCTCTGCTTTATTATTTTAAACTGAGTTTTATCATTGTAAAATTATTTATTTATTTATTTTTTAAGACAGAGTTTCGCTCTGTCACCCAGGCTCGAGTGCAGTGGCACGATCTCAGCTCACTGCAACCTTTGCTTCCCGGGTTCAAGTGATTCTCCTGCCTCAGCCTCCCGAGTAGCTGGGATTACAGGTGCCCTCCACCAAGCCCAGATGATTTTTGTATTTTTAGTAGAAATGGGGTTTCACCACGTTGGCCAGGCTGGTCTCAAACTCCTGACCTCAGGCAATCTGCCCGCCTTGGCCTCCCAAAGTAAGCGCTGGGATTACAGGCGTGAGTCACTGTGCCTGGCCCTTCTGAATGTTTTTAAGCTCAGTGGGGCAGGCCTGAAGATGGAGCCACAGTGGTTCGCAAAGTTCATTTTGGCCTAGAATCTAACTTGATGTTGAGATCTTGTGATGGCTATTAGGTTGGTGCAAAAGTAATTGCGGTTTTTGCCTTTAAAAGTAATATTTTACTCCCAGGCATGTTTTTCACTTGATTCAAAACTCAGAAGAGATGTGATGCCTTCATACCCTCAAAGCAACAGTGTGGGCTCCGGAGGCAGAGGACCCAGGTTCAAATCCTGATCCTTTCATTCATTTACTAGCTTTGTGACCTTTGGCAAATCACCCTTTCTGAGTCTCAGTTTGGTATTCTGGAACATGGACTATTTAAATAGTAGGTAGAACGAACATAACACATTGCCTGACACACACTAAACGCGCAACAAATGTTAGCTATTGTTGTTTGACCTGTGCTCTGAAACAGTCAAAATGGCATGGAAATGATCTGATCCTTGAAGGTTTGTGAAAATTAGTAAATCTTACCTGGGCTGGCAATCTTTAGTGAGTTAGATCAGAGGTTCACAAACCATGGCCTGTGGGCCAACTCCAGCCCTACATTTTTTTTTGTTATTTGTTTGTTTGATACATTCTGAAAGCTAAGAATGGATTTTATATTTTTAAATGGTTAAAAAAATCAAAAGAAGAACAGTACTTTGTGACATATGGAAATTATGTGAAATCAAATTTCAGGGTTCAGAAATAAAGTCTTATTGGGAAACAAACACATTCATATGGAAGGAAATCCAGGATGGAAATGGCTATGTCAGAGGCATCTAAAAAGTTGCTGGGTGGGCGGAAGAGTTGGACCCAGGCCTATATACACCCAGACAGAATGTCACCTGTGGAACTGGGCCAAACTGTAAACATCCTGAAGAAGCAGGTACTTTTAGTTTAACCTATTTATATTGGGCCTGATCACAAATCTCCTGGGGAGAGAGCTGTGCCAACATAAGCTGGTCATCTGCTAGAGACACTTGAAGCTGTCAATCAATCACCATTAATCATAGACCATGCTAAATTATCCCACTTGTGTAAATTTACAGTAAACCTCTATAATATCCTGTTCAACCTCACTTGGAGGGAACGTGATTTAGCTGCTTGCTAGATTTGTGTCTGCTGCATTGCAATTCCTCTCTTGTTTGCTGCCCTGCAGGGGTTTTCTTTCTTTTTTTTGTGGGGAGGGGTGGGGGAGACGGAGTCTCGCTTTGTCGCCAGGCTGGAGTACAGTGGTGCGATCTCTGCTCACTGCAATCTCTGCCTCCTGGATTCAAGTGATTCCCCTGCCTTAGCCTCCTGAGTAGGTGGGACTACAGGCGTGCACCACCATGCCTAGATAATTTTTTGTAATTTAGTAGAGATAGGGTTTCACCATGTTGGCCAGGATGGTCTCGATCTCCTGACCTCATGATCTACCGCCTCAGCCTCCCGAAGTGCTGGGATTACAGGTGTGAGCCACCGTGTCTGGCCCTTATTTCTTATTAGTTGACATTCATTTGTTTGTTACATAATGCCTCCGGCTGCTTTCACCCTAGAGTGGCAGGGTTGAGTAGCTGGAACAGACTATGGTGGCCTACAAAGCCTCACATATTTACTTCCTGGCCCATTGCAGAAAGTTTGCTGATCCTGAGTTAGGCGATTGACACTTTTCTTTCTTCTACATTTATTAGCCTCTCCAGAAGTACGTGTAATGAGAGGAGGATTCTCTCCTTTGCATGTTGGTCTAGCCAGTTGATTAGCTATTTGATCTAGCTAACGGGGTAGCTAATTAGAGATGGCAGGTAGTTAGCAAACATTTTACTAAGATTGTCATTTAGACCTCCATTACTGTACAGCTGTGTGGAGTGGTGTATTAGTTGGGGTCCTCTAGAGAGACAGAACCAACAGGAAATTATATATAACTATATATCTGTATAAATATATGTGGGGATTTGTTAGGGGGAATTGGCTTATGTGAGGATGGAGGCTGTGAAGTCCCATGGCAGGCCAGCTGCAAGCTGGAGAACCAGGGAAGCCTGAAGCATGGCTCAGTCCACACCCAAAGGCCTCAGAACCAGAGGAGTTGATATTGTGAAATGGAAGTCTGAGGCCGAAGGCCTGAGAAACTGGGAGGCAGCTGATGTATGTTCCAGAGTCCAAATGCCAGAGAACCTCCAGTTCCTATGGCCTAGGGGAGGAGAAGAAGAGTGTCCCAGCTCCAGCAGAGTGACAGCAAGAGCAAACTCACCCTTCTTCTGCCTTTCTGTTCTATGTGGGCCCTCAGCTGATTGGGCCCACGCTGGGTGAGGGTGATCTTCCCAGTGATTCAAATGCCAACCTCTTCTGAATACACCCTTACAGACACACCCAGAAACAGTGGTTTACCAGCTATCTGGGTATCCCTTAATCCAGTCAAGCTGACACCTGAAATTAACCTTCACAAGCAGGGAAAGCTTAAAATGAAGCCTGAGTGTTCCATTCCTGTGCATCTTAGGGTCAAGGGCCCACGCCAAAATTCCCGTGCTGTGTGTCTGCCTTGGTGACCCTGGCAGCCTCACTTGCTTCTGCTGAGCTGGACCAATACTGTTATCCTCCCTATGCTCAAATAAATCTAGACCATTCTCTTCCAGGAGCCACTCTAGAATATATTCCTTCCAACTGATTAATGAGAAGAAATAATGTATGCGAAAGTACTTTATGAGATGTAGACTAGAATGATATATTGGACATGATTGTTATTTTATCAGATAGGCTTGGCTGAGTTCATTTCGTTTGCCTGACCAGCCGCGGAGCAGCCTTTCTGACTGCCAGCTGATGTCTTCCTCCAGGTTATCCTGGGCTCCTTCTCTGCTGCTGGTGTTGGGTTCTGACCTTTGGACAAAGAAGGGTGTGCTTGCTGACCCAGAGCTGCCCTTTCTCGTTGGCATTCCTGTTGTTTTAGTTTTGTTTTTGTTCGTGTTTCTTTCAGAGACAGAGTTTCGCTCTTGTTGCCCAGGCTGGAGTGTAATGGTGCGATCTGGGCTTACTGCAACCTCCACCTCCCGGGTTCAAGTGATTATCCTGCCTCAGCCTCCCAAGGAAGTGGGATTACTGGCATGTGCCACCATGTCCAGCTAATTTTGTAGTTTTAATAGCAATGGAGTTTCACCATGATGGTCAGGCTGGTCTCGAACTCCTGACCTCAGGTGATCCACCCGCCTTGGCCTCCCGAATGCTTTACTTTTGTTAACTGAGGTCATCCTCTTTGTCTGATGGCAAACCCAGCTTTCTCCTGCCAATGTACGATGACCCAAGGAGTTGCTGTGCCTTTGGGAAAAGTGGGGAGGGGATGCAACAGAAGCTGGAGTGTCAGCGACAGAATCCCAGGCTCCTCCCTTCCTATATGCAGGTTAACTGCGGAGCCTCCAGGTGCATGTCCAAGTATCCTGGAGGAGTCATCCTATATATATTTTTGGTTTTGGATTCTCTCATTACTGCTGCAGGCAATTCTGCCTGTCACTCCTTTTGTTAAATTTATCCAGGACTGATAACCACAGGTCCCTGACTTGAAAGCCAGAACCATCAGCTTTCAGTGGGAGCTATAATGGTCAGTGTTGCCTTAGCCTCAGATGAACAGACACTCTCCTCAGAAGCACGGTTAACTGGGAGTTTCACACTGGCCTGTTTTATATGTGGGCAGCTGAGGCTTTGTACATAAATTCACGATTTTGCGTGATCTCTATACCCATTGTTTTTTTGAGATCCCATATTTATAATGACTTCATCCCACAAGGCAATGCCTTAATAGGCTCTAGAGAATCTGCCAACTGCGTTATCTTCTCTCTAAAATCCTCTTCTCTCCCTGTGTCCCCATCCCGCCACCCACTCACTCCTCACCCCACTCCATTCCTGCCAC